GGGGGGGGGGGGGAGGAGAAAAACAAAACAAAAACCGTAGGCGTACCCCGCCTATACCCGAGACAATAATTCCGTTGCACGACCGCAACGCGCGGGCTTGACGGTGTCCGCGTTACGTCGCGGCAAAATCGGATTTAATCAGCCGCGTCGGTCTATCGCACGGTACGCGCCGGCCGCGCAACGTGATAACGGGGGCGATATCGTCCGGTCGCGTACAACGCTCGCGCACTCGCCGAACGTCCTTAAGCCGTGGCGCGCGCGCATTGTGACCGCGGGTACGCGGCGAATCGCGCCGGGGCCGGGAGCCATATGAATAACAATCGCGTCGCTGTTATGACGCGCGAGTGCGGCGCGTGCACGTTGGACAATGCGCGCCGCGATAAAGATCCACACGGTACGATACCGGACGCCACGATTAACGAATAAATCCGCGGGTCGTTCGATTTATTGCCGACACGCATTTTATCCGCCGCGCGCGTTACCCTACGGCCCTCGACCGTTCCGAACCTCGTTTCCCCTACGATTCGGAACAATAAGCGGCTCCCGTCGTGTCTGTACAACGCGCCCGTAACCCGCCGGACGCGTAACGGACTCTGTGCCTTATGATCGGTTTTAAGTTTTTAACAACCCGTTCTGCGGGCACACCGGGTATACCGTGGGCTTACGAGCGTGCGTTGGAAAGGAACGCGTTACATTTTGCAGAAACGGACACCGGAACGCGTTACTTTTCGATACGAACGAACGAGATGCGGGAAAGAATCGCGAACTCGACTTCGATCCTTTTCGAACGTTCACTCGCGGCTTTTCCGCGCACCAACGTCGCGATCGCCCATAATAACACGGGGCTCTCGTTTTAACTAACGCGCGAATCGTACGCGGCGCCCGGAATTTTCGGGAAAGCCTCGACGGAATGAACGGTTGCGGTATTTACAATCGAGAAATGAAAAAAAAAAAAGTCGTGCGATTTCGAGCCGCGGCGCGCGTTGTTTTTACAATACCGAATCGACGAGTCCGCACAATAGACCCGCGCGGACAAAACGCGCGTCGCGACAAAGACCGAGTGACTAAAAGCCGGTTCTCCTGTTAAAACCGTTATCCAATGCGCGGATTTCGATCGTACGGTCGGAATGGAAAACAACGCGAATTCGGTATCCCGGCGTGTTTTCACACAGACGGCCGCGGCCGTAACATGATTATGCGATATTGCAAGAGATTCTATTGAGATCTACAGCGGCGTTAGCGCACGGTTCGTACGGTCCGCGGCCGCGCACAACGTAACGCTGCGTTTAGAGTTGGGCGCCTTCGATAAAAATCGCGGTACGCGACCGGCGCAGCATAGCGGGTGCACGGAGGATAATTATGGATTCCAGATGGCTATCCGCGGATTCGGTGCCCCGACCGCCGGACCGCCGCGGGCCGTCGACAATTAACATCGCGGTGTATATCATAACAAATGTACGGTTTTGTTTTGTTTTCGAATTCAAAAGCGCCCACACGCGCTCGCGATCACGCCGCGCTCGGCTGTCCGTCCGTCCGGGGCGGTTCGCGTCGCCCGCGTGCGTTTCGAAAATCGAAAATATCCCCCCGGGCCCGTGCGCCGCCACGTCCTCGTTACGGAAATACCGCGCCGCCGAACGGCAGATGTTCCGCGCGGCGCTCGGTCCCCGGCACTTGTTGCTGCCGCCGTCGCACTACACCGCCGGCCAGCGCCGTCGTTTCGAACCGGAACGCGTTATCGCCCGGCCCGGAACTGCGGATTTTCGCGAGAATTCTGAAATTCCGTTTTGCCAACGTACGTCCTCGGCGCCTTTGCTCCTTAGCGCCGCTGTTTATTTCTCGATCCTGCTGTCGACTTGTTCCGATGTTCTCCTATCACAGCCACGTCTCCTCGCGTCTTGTCCCCGCGCGCTTCCGGGATGGGGCAATCCGCCCACGTTTAGAACGCCTCGTGCTGTTCGATAGAATTCCACATCGCCCGGTAATCACGTTTATCGCCTGTTACGACAGCCAGAGGCTGTTCCGTGGCGGTATTCCGATCCTCTCACGCGGGGAGCGTGTTGAAAGTGCTATAAATACGTAATAATAGTACAATGTAAAGTTTTATCGCACATTTACTTGTCGAACGTTTCAACGATATTCGGATAATTCCGGGCTGTTCTCTCGATAATTCGACGATGGCGAACAACCAATTTACAAAAGTAAACATTATTTAACATCGGTATTTATGTTCAACGATATTTCTAACAACTAAACAGAATTTTTTTTTTTTTTTTTCCATTAGACGGTGAATCAAATCTATAGATAAGAATTTAAAAAAAAAAAAAAACAATCGAGAATTCTGCAGACTACGACCCCCTCCCATGAACTCGTAGCCCTTCTCGGGTTTAGCCTAGGTAGCCTAGTCCTAAGTCCGACCCCGGATACATGTTTACATTTGAATCGCGTCCGACAGCTATCGACGTATTTGTATAGTTTAATATTTCCTCCTATAGTACTGTCGCTTGTAATTTTCCAAACCGTTGGGACGCGTAAAAAACGTTTTAATTCGGAAATTCGTTTGTTTGCGATCGTCATTGATAATCAATAATAACGCATAGATTCGGATGACGATGAATTATTGTTATGATTATTATTTTTTTTTTTTAGCTAAATCACGAATATTAATGAGCTCCGTTCGAATGCCGGCGCAGACGAATATATACGTGCACAATATTATCGTGTACTCCGTAAAGAAAGAAAAAAAAAAAAACCACAAATACCCAAAGTTACATAAACTGCGGTCGCAATCGTTATTGTTGTTCTGATGTCCTGTTGAAATGGATTCCGATTGAAACGGAATACCGTCGCGTAAACGATTGTCCCGCGTCCACGCGATTGGGTCTGCGCACGGTAAGCGTAATGAACGAGACGATACCGTTTACGGGTCTCGTGTAAAATCCAAATGACAATTCGGAATACGCGTCTGTGTTACGGTATCCGCCGTGCCACTACTCGCGCAGTTGTGCCGCGGAACGGTTGCGGCGTAAATTCATATCCGTCGCGTTTAAAATAGATCGGCTGCCGCACGGTTCACGCGCTTCGCTGCTATTCCGAGCTCTTTTGGCCGACAGAAGAGCCCGGAGCCGACTCTCTGGTCTCCGGAGCAAGTTATAGCCCCGGGTCTCACGGGTTCTCCGCGCCCGGTTCTTCGGCGCATTAGCTCCGAACAGTACTCGTTTTCTTCGCGTTGCCGCTGCCGTTTCTGCGTCCCGGCATTTGCGGCCGACTGCGCTGTTAACGGGAGCCCTTTACGACGACGACGAGAGCTGTCAGTGCTCAACCCTCCGTTTCCCTGTCTTAATTAATTGTACCGCGTTATTCTGTTATTAGTTTTTAGTTTTAGTTTCGTTTGTAATTGTTACCGTCGGTCGATCGGAAAATAACGTACAAAACAAATAATCTCGTCGTAAAATTCGATTGGTCCGCAGGACCGATCGACAAACGTTTTGTCTCTCCTTCGTTAGACGAACATTTCGTTGCGTGCGAAACAAAAATTTGAACCGTTATAATTCGTTTTCGTTATGCGTCGGTACAAAGACAAAATGTTATCGCAGAATATGCGAATGCGTTTATGGTGAATTTTTTTTTAAAAAAAAAAAAAAAAAAAAGACTTCTCTAGTTGTACGTAACGTATCGGGCCGGACGTTGAAATATTATTTAAAATAATATAAATGTTTTCGACGAATAATAAAAAATTCAAATGCACTTTGAGAATTAATTCGAAGAAAAATAAATACATTATAATAACATAGTCGTGTTAAATTTTGCGTTTAATTACATCGATTTGAACACTGATATTATAATATTATAATGATTAAGGAACGGATTTACATTTTATTATGCACGTAGACGAGTTATAAATGCGTAATAATTTTGCAATTGTTTTTAAATGTGCGCTATAATATGATTTTACTATCGTTCAAACTGTAAAATAATGTATCATAAATGTTATGTACATATTATAATATGTATTTGTTTTGAAAAACATAGACTTAAACGCATACGTCCGTCGATTATACAAAACGCATATTATATTATATTGTCGAAAAAAAAAAAAAATGCAAATGATAGATAAGTTGTTTTTCTCCGTTTACAATCAACATCAAGATAATCATTTTTCCGAATGTTTTTTTCGTTTTTTAACAATTCTTTTTTATTTACGAAATACGTACGTGTTGAAAATAAATGTTTAAAGCAAAAATATGCGCACGAAAATCTTATAATAAAAGTCTTAAAAAAAAAAAAAAAAAAACAACGCCGTTTTAATAATATAAGAACGATCTAAAATGGCGCAAAATTCTCTTATTCGAATAATACACATGTCGTGTATAATATCTGAACTATAAGAATCTCGTTACACTAGATACACGCAAAAATGCACGTGCAATACGTCTGTTGTCGTGGTTTTTACTATAGTAACTAAACAATAATAAAATAAAGATAACACTGGGAAAGGTGCGGCTACTGTTGTAGGTGAGCAATTTGAAAAGTAGGATGTGTAGAGGAGAATTTAATTAATTTAATTTATTAATATAATCTCATTGCTAACGAAAAACGTTTCCATGTGGAGCTCGGTCAATAGTATTGTTTTTTCAACAATGTGCGTTTTTACGACAACAACGATTGTTTAAAAAAAAAAACTAAAAGATTAAGATCGGTGCAAGATTTCTAGGAGAAAAGTTGTTTACAGGCAGAAGAAAAAGAAATACACATCACAGTATAACAACAGATCCCCCACTTCATTCAAAAAGCTAAAACTATTAAAATTAACGTATTGCGCGTGCGGTTTAGACGACAGCAATGTAATAATAGTGATTTGAATCTAATGCAATAGTAGAAATTCAATAGAAATTATGAACAAAATCATTTTAAATCTGTTCAATTTTGTTTTCTGTTTTAAACATAATTAAATACTTGTAAATTTATCGTGTTTTGACTGTATACTTTTCTGTTTATTCGTTCCCAATGAATGAATTATTCAGTGAAACTAACAGAGGACCAGAAAAAACTGCCTATCAATATACTGTAAAATGGATATGTCGTCGGATATGTTTTCACGAGGACCGTTCACTACACACTATACAATGTAAGTGTATTATTGCATCTCTTCCGTCCGTCCGGTCCGGCACAGTCGTTTCCGGTCTGTCCACTGAAAAATATCCGTCCCGTGCCTATCTGTACATAATAATAATAATCCAGTGAAAGTCATACACAAGTATTTATATACCTATATATATATATAAAAAAAGTAATAATAAAAAAATATGCTAACATGCTTTACAACAAGCATTCATTTTCCACACACACACATCCGCATAGTCGTGAGACCCCTCTGTGTACTGCGGTGAGTGTGTGTCCGAATCGCGTGGGTTTGATTGATCGGACGATCTTCTCGCGTGATCCCCTCCCCGCTCCCGTCGCACAGCGATGACGGTCGCCCATTGTCTCCCCCCTGCCCTCTCCTATCCGCTACTCTGAGTATATACAATATATGTAGTGACTTATCTGCCATTCATTCGCTCTAAATGGACCGACATTCGGGACAGATGTAGATAATAATCAAAACTCGCTGCCTCCCCCCCCCCCCCCGGGGGACCCCCTCCGGGACATACGGCCGCACGGTCCATCGACACCGCCGCAGCAGCAGGACGCGCGTTTAACGAATTATTCCCATATTATGTACCTGTACTCACGAGATTCACGTGATGGTCATAGTGTCGCGAATCGCGGTTATAATTTTAGATATCCGATGTGTACACGTGAACGGATAAAAATAATGCGATTTTTCTTTTTTTTTTCAACCTCAAGTGTACCACCACCCCCCCCCCTTTTTCTCAGAGAGGCGCCGAATAGGACAATGCGTTCCGAGCGCACAATTCGAGTTTTCCACGTGACAAACATCGTACGGCTCAAAAATGTAATTCTCATAAATTTAACTTTTTAAATTCACTTTTTGACTGTGGGCACTGGGCGTTTATAATCGGTAATGCGATAAGGTCGTAGCGGTGCTCGAGGCGGTGATGGCGTATAGGGGGTGATTCGGGCGGCGCTGGTGTATTACTATACAGTTCGTAAATAAACATAGTTTTTTTTGGTAGTAATTTGTTTTAGACAACTGCTTAACCGAATTACGCTAAGAAACGTTAGCAATGATTTATAAATTAAAAAACTCTACGAAAACGACCGTCCCGACTTCTCACCTACAACAGTGTCCTACCCGTCAGCAGTATAACAATAAGCTCTTTTTTTTTCCGATTTTGTTTACATAATTTAAAATGCATTACAATTAGCTTCAGTTTTAGAAAAATAAGGTATTGCGATAATTTTGAGCACACTAATTTAGCAGTCAGTAATTTGGTATTTTGGATTTTGAGCAAAGCGAATGTATTCGTTTTATTGTGATGTGTGTTGTCCGCAACTAACGTAACTCTCGGAAATCTGGGTCTAAACAAAAAATAACAAAATTTTTTTGCTGTGACATTATGAACGTAGTCGGTGTATTATACGAGTCATTTTTTTGATTACCTAACCATTTTTCCTAATAATTGGGAAAAACCGGAGAAGACTAAGGAAAACGGAAAAGTTTACATCATTAACGGTATCATTAATGGTTTTATAATTTTTGATTTTGTTGTTTTTTAATAATGTAATTAAAAATAATTTTGGAACTTTCATAGAATACAATTATCGTTTTCTAGACATGGTAAATTTTCAACATTTTACGATTTTTTTTTTTTTTAGTTATTGATAAGCATTTGACAGTTTCAAGCTTTTCAGTTTTCATTTGGTTTTATTTAAATGAAAAATGTTCGTCCTGACACAAATTTAAATACCAGATTCATTACAAGTTGTACTCAATGATAAAAAAACAAGTTGAACGTAATATAGAATTATTTTAAAAGTTCAAATGAATGTTTTAATGA